GTGCACGAGCCTCGGCCCGGTGAGGTTAGAACAGTTGATCACAACTCAATTTACATTATATTTATAGAGATGAGAATTGGTCGGGTTGTATCAGATTTTTTACCAATTTAACCCGACCTAAGAAGTATATATAGTTCATTTGATCTGATTTGATTCGACTTTATTCTTTATAAAATTTGACTCGATCTGAATTTTAGTTTTTTTTTTTTTAAACAATCCAACAAAATCATTGATTTCGAGTTAAATTATCGTTCTACGTATTTCTATATAATTGCTTGATTGTTTATTTCACCAAATCCGTTTTGATTATTTTGCATTGGGTAGTACGACTTCAGTGGAAGAAACGACTTGGTGAAGTTTATAAAAGAAATCCAAGCACAGGGGATCTATGCATGCCTTAGGATTGGGCCTTTCATTGAGAGTGAATGGAATTATGGGTGAGTTACTTATACCCATCCTTTTTCTTTTACAAAGTTTACAACTATATTTCTTTAGGTAAAGTACACAAATAACCTCATCTATAAGATGTTGTTTTATTAAGTCCTCTGATTATTAAAAGTTATCCATCGACTATTCATTTGTTCTAAACGCGTCATTTTCTATTAAGAAAATTGAAGACAGCTTGAGGTGGACGTTAACCTGTTGAGATATGATAATTGTTTGAGATTTTGATATCATATTTTATCATATTATAGTCAACATGTTAGTGTCCGACTCAGACTGTTCATCAAATTTTTTAATAAAAATGATGAATTTAGAATATATGAATAGTCGGGGACCATTTTATAACTTTTAATAATCAGGGGGTCACGAACCAAGTGACTCGCTGGTAAATGAATTGATGTTGTTCTTTGAGGTCCGGAGTTCAAGCACTATGAATGTCAGGAGTGTGAGCGTTCAATGTCAAAATGGCTAAGAGTTATCTTTGAACATTTACTACCTTGTATTTACTTCAGATTAATAAAAAATAATAGTTGGGGACCATTTGTGTATTTTTCCCTATTTTTCTCTGATCTGCTCACATTGGTCAAATTTATAAAATGGTCCCTGTAGTAGTGCCTCTAGTATATTGACTCCCTCTACTGCAACATGAGTACTTCTAGTCTTTTTACTATCATAAATATATATTTTATACCCCAAAGTCAACTTTTTTCTGATGTAATTTTTTTATAAAAAAGAAAATTATGATGACATGATATATATACTAATATTTTTTGTATACTAGGACACAAATTTTACATGATTTGAAAAAAAAATAGAAAAATGTATAATATTTATATTATTATATAAACATTGTCAAAGTCTAGATCACTGTAAGTCACATGTTTACAGGGGATTTCCATTTTGGCTGCACGATGTCCCTGGTATTGTTTATCGAACAGATAATGAGCCCTTTAAGGTATCATTATTTGTAATTCGTAAATTAAAATTTGCAGAAATGCTATTATTAAAGTTTTGGTTGATTTTTGTTTAACTGGTACCAATTATTTGGTTGTTGTAGTTGTACATGCAGAACTTCACTACCAAATAATAAACTGATGAAATCAGAAGGTTTATATGCTTCGCAAGGAGGCCCAATAATACTATCACAGGTAAATTTATGAAGCTCTTTTATTTTTTCTATTAATCCAGGACGATTACGAGGTAATATCTGTTCAAAAGAAAGTTCAAACATCCCTACAATGTCATATTCGAGAATAACAATCCAGCTTGGTTCGTGCGTAGCTCTTTCATTTTCAAAACTGACAGAAACTTGTATGAACCCTGGACTAAATTTGCAGATAGAGAATGAATACCAAAACGTGGAAGCAGCTTTCCATGAAGGAGGAGTTGCTTATGTTAAATGGGCAGCAAAAATGGCGGTAGACCTCGGAACTGGTGCGCCATGGGTCATGTGCAAGCAAACCGATGCTCCTGATCCCGTGGTTCGGTTCTCTTCCTAAAATTTGAGAAGTTCATTCTCCTAACATAAAATCTTACGTTTTCCGTTTAACATTAATACATTTGCAGATTAATACATGCAATGGCATGAGATGTGGGGAAACTTTTGGAGGTCCCAACTCACCCGACAAGCCTTCCTTGTGGACAGAAGACTGGACTTCTCAATATCAAGTATACGGTGGAGAGCCATACATAAGGTCTGCAGAAGATATTGCATTTCATGTAACACTTTTCATAGCCAGGAACGGAAGTTACGTCAACTACTACATGGTAAGCCTGTTATATTCTAATGATGCATGCATTTTACTCAACCCTAACCAATGGTTTATGTATGATATAGTACCATGGTGGAACGAATCTCGGAAGGACGTCATCGGCGTATGTGATAACAAGTTACTATGATCAAGCTCCTCTCGATGAATATGGTGAAATGGATACACTTTTCTATCTGTCATTAGCTGTGATAAAGAACTGGAATTGACGTTAAGTTGCAGGTTTGCTGAGACAGCCAAAATGGGGTCATCTTAAGGAACTGCATGCTGTGGTAAAGAATTGTTCCACACCTTTGTTGCAAGGAGTGCCAAGCAATTTCTCCATAGGTCCACTTCAGCAGGTGGGGAAGCCTTTAACCCCGGTGCTATATAATTCACTATTATCAATTACTGATGTTTTGTTTTGGATTAGGCTTATGTTTTTGAACAAGGAAGGGAAGCATGTGCAGCGTTTCTTGTAAACGAAGATTCCACAAAGAATGCTACGGTTCAATTCCGGGACAAGTCGTTCGAGTTGTTGCCGAAGTCGATCGGCATTCTACCAGACTGTCAAAACATGGTTTTCAACACTGCAGAGGTGAGGACGATGCCGAATAAGAGAATTACAACAGTAAGCAAAGTGTTTGATGCAGTGAGTAGCTGGACAGAGTGGAAAGAAGAGATCCCCAACTTTTTAGATACGTCACTGCAATCCGATTCATTGTTGGAACAAATGAATACAACCAAGGACGTATCTGATTACCTTTGGTACACATTCAGGTACACCCCAAATGTATTCTTCTTTTATCTTATTATTTTTTAAATAATAAATGAATGCTAAGGGACATCATATTCAAAACAGCTTTCAACCCAATTCAACTTGCTCCCAACCTGTGCTTCACATTGAGTCCCTTGGACATGTTGCACACTCCTACATCAACAGCAAATTTGTAGGTACAAATCTCTAATTCCAATAAACTCCTTTTCTTTAAAAAAAAAACTAAAATTCATTAAGGTAAAGTATACAAATGGTCTTTTGATTATACGATTGTTTTATTGAGTCCACTAACTAGTAAAATTATAAAATGGTCCCTCAAATATAGGATATTATTTTGTTGAATCTCTCGACAATTAAAAATTACAAAATGGTCACCCGACTGTTAATATATTCTAAATTCATCTTTTTTCGTTAAAAAATGATGATCGTCTGAGTTGAAACTTTAACATGCTAACTGAGATATGATAGTCATTTGAGATTTTGAGATCAAATTTTATCATATCCCAGTAAGCAGGTTAACATCCAGCTCAGACTGCTATCAATTTTTAACAAAAAATGACGAGTTTTGAATATATGAATAGTCAGATGGCCATTTTACAACTTTTAATAGTTTGGGTGCTCAACAAAGCAATGTCCTATAGCCAGAGATCATTTTATAACTTTTAATAGTCGAAAAACTCAACAAAGTATCACCCTATAGTCTGGAGACCAGAACCATTTGTGTACTTTACCAATTCACTATCCGGTGATGATCTCTACTTATGCTCAGAAACTGGACATGGAAGCCATGATACTAAAGGGTTTAGCATGGACGTTCCAATTAGCTTGAATGATGGTATGAACAACGTATCAATACTGAGTGTTCTGGTTGGATTACAGGTAATCTTTGTCTCCTCACAAATCATATAAGCAAATAATTACATGAAGTAATAATAACATTTGCTTATTCTATTTGAAGGACTCGGGAGCCTATCTGGAGAGAAAATATACTGGGTTGAGTATAGTGAACATTCTATGTTCAGGGTCAAATCCATATGACTTTACCAATTATACATGGGGATATCAGGTATTTACATTACTTATTTGAAGGATGTTTTAAATGAGTTCACATATTTCATTTTTAATTGTGCATTTAGGGTATGTGTAGTCCAATTAGCATTAATTTTTTTATTTATATGTTTTGTAGATTGGTTTGAAAGGGGAAAAGTTAGAAATATGTAAAGAAGAAAATTTGGAAAAAGTGGAATGGAGTGAGCTTGATGATTCTACAAATACATCACTCACTTGGTACAAGGTGAGCTCCAAACCTATGGTTTTCTAGTATATAAATACCGCATAATGTCAAAATTAGTTTCTATCTTTTTTGAGAATATTTTGGTCATATCATTTCATTTTGGAGGAAAAAATAACCCTTTACAGATGAAAATCGTTAGTTAATACACTATTAACATTTCAAAACATGAATCTTTTTATCCTAAAATGAAACATTAAGGGTCAAAATGCTATGGGGGAAAATAAAGGCAAATCTGACTATTCTGTCAAATGTTAGGGTATTTTTTCCCTAAAATGAAACGTTGGGGTCAAAATGTTCCAAAAAATAAAGACTAAAATGACCATTTTGATAAATATTAGGGTTACTTTTGACACTATACCTATAAATATATTAGCAAATGCATAATGTAAACTATATTAGGGGTAATTTTATCATTAGACCTATAAATATATTAGCAAATGCATAAGGTAAACTATGTATTTTTGTCAGACCACGTTTGATGCACCAGTTGGTGATGATCCGATTGCCTTGAACATGAGCTCAATGCAAAAAGGACAGGTGTGGGTGAATGAACAAAGTATTGGTCGCTATTGGGTTTCATTCCATACCCCTAAAGGAAATCCCTCCCAGATTTTGTAAGTAATCTTAAATTTGGATTTTAATTAATCTTTTAAATTTTCTACTGATAAGTTATGGTTAAAATTGTAGGTACCATGTGCCTCGCTCATACCTCAAACCATCTGGGAATGTACTAATAGTGCTTGAAGAGTTGAGTGGGGATCCTCTTCAAATTTCTTTGAACACTATTTCAGTTGCTAACTTCAATTCTCCAAATTATTACAATCACCTCCCTCACTTAATATAACCCTTCCATCAAAGTGTAACATCTGTCTTCATTAAAGCAATTACAATATCGGAATTTAGAGCAAAAATAATTACCTACAGCCTTTTTTACTAGCGTTTTTATTGAAAAGAAGTGGAGAGGAAGTATTAGGGGAAAAGTTGATGGGAGTAAGCTGGTCATCTTTCACCCAACAATGATTCAAGAAGGGCAGCTTCTTCTTCCTGTCCAAAATATAAAAATGAAAAGGCAGAAGAACCAATTATTTTAGGTCATTTCAGCAGGCAGAGTGAGAACAAGGTAATTATTAGGGTGTCATACCACTAAGGCATTGAACTCAGTTTCCTCATCAATGGCACTCATAATAGCAGGGTCCTCCAGGAGATCCTGTTCCCATATGATAAACACACTATTTAGGTCCATACCAGACATATAAAGGTGGTCTTATATGACTTCTCTTCACAAAAGCTAATTTAAAAAGCCTAAATGAGGGATAACAACACCAATTCAACGTCACTCCTCTCAAGTCAGGAAGCACTTCCAGCGTACACAATCTCTCCTCTCTCTCTCTCTCTCTCTCTCTCTCTCTCTCTCTCTCTATATATATATATATATATATATATATATATATAGAGAGAGAGAGAGAGAGAGAGAGAGAGAGATCATTTTTAATCAATTCAACATTTGATACCCCTTTGGATGATTCCTTCCAAGCAAAGTGCTCCCTGCCCTTGGCTTTCAATTTCCCTCATTAAGCCCTCAAAACCACAATTTTTCTTTCATGCAACATCTTACCATACTGAAATTCATAAGTGGGTAGATGGAACTTTTGTGTATTTAATCACACCGGCTGATTATTTAAGTTAGTGGGTTATGGCCTCTAAATGAGAGTCGGTCTGTACATGCATACTTAACATGCAAGTGAACACCAAGACCAAGCATTGCAAAACGATATTGTTGATAACGGAACATGAACACATTAGACTGGAAATTAACCTGTTAAAAACTGAAGGAATAGAGGACAAAGTATTCAAAGTAAAAAACTTAAATAACTTTTCTTCCGAAATGTAAAAAGTTACTTACATCATCAGCAATTTGCAGAAGTCCATTCTGATCCTGCAGAAACCAAAGCCAGCTTCATCAGTATCCCAGTTCATAATAACCTTCATACTGATTCTTTCTCAATCTATTTCTTGTAGACATTAATTTAAATACAGGCTTTAAACAGATGAAATAGTAATTCTTCAAGGATGCTTGTAGTTACCTTTACAGCAACGAATAGAAGTGGGTCAGATGGTGTATAAATCATGTAATGAGCACCATCCTGCATGGATAATAAGGATTTGTTAAGAAATATCAAATTAAATAATAATGATGATGGTGATGACAACTGTGTTATTTACCTCTTTTCAGAAGTCTGTATGGTCAAAAGATAAACCTCTTTTATAGTATACATGTAGCACATGCTCTTTCAGCCAAAATTACTAAAGAATCTTCAATGGGTTTCATTTTTTCTTTCTTTTTTCTCCAAGGAGGTTAAATAGCTCTTTTCGCTACCATATCTTTGAGTAATTTAATGCATTCTACAAGGTAATTTACATCACTAAACTTTGTTATGCTAATTTCATCACTAAACTTTTATCATTAAGAAATTAGATCATTTGTGCTAATTTCATTAATTACTTTGTTATGGTCCCTTGTTTACAATCGAGTCACCAGGTGATGCTTCAGAGAGCTCTTTCCTTTATTATTTCTTCCACGATTATGACATATGATTATCAAACAGAGCTCATCAAAGGGAATTCCAAACCTTAGACTTGTTTTAGAGGGAATTTTAGACCTCTTGGGGTTTTTTCCCTTAAATTCTGACTTGTATTATATTAATGATCATAAGCCTATTTAAATAGAGGTTACATACCTAGTGAAAATAAAAGACCTAATAAGCAAGCAATCCTACTTAAGTAAGGCTTCTAAAATAATAATAAATAGGATCTTAATACTAATAAACTTCCAATAATAAACTGACTCCTAATTAAAATACTAACGAATAAAATACTAATAAATTGATAAACTAATAATAATAAGATAATTACACAAATAATAATTATTTGACTTATTTGGCATGTAACATATTTTTAACGTAAAAGCTAACTCAGCATGCATATATATGGAACATTTTTTCTAAACAAAGTCAAGTTTGGGATTTCAAGCTGAATCACGTATGCATGTTAGGCAATTTTTCCATTAGAATTACATAATGGAAAGTGACCTTATTTATTAATAAAAGAATATTAGTATTTAATAATATTAAAGGGTTCTGAATTACATGATATCTGATGTTGAATTTAGTGACTCAGAATGTAAATAACCCTATTCTATCAACAATTCTGAACAAAGTTGACTAAAAATTCAAATGTTATCTAAGAACCAAAAAACTCTTTTTTTTTGGAAAAAATAAAGGAATATTTTAAGGATCAAATAGAATCACGTAATCGCATCCAAACACTCAAGTTGGTGGATCTCATTAGGATAATCCATCTCAAAAGTGTAAAGAGTGATACAAGCTGAACCAAAATCCGCTAGTGCCAAAAAAACTTAAACAACTATGGAGGGGGCATTTTATATTGAGATTTTAGTATAGAGAATTGAGCATAAAGTCTTGGATTTTGGAAATGAGACTATTTTTTAGGAAAGATAGAGACTAATTGTTTGTACACAAGCTCTATATGGTCAATACCAAATAGACTGTTAAGAATAGGCAAATAGGATCATGTCAAAGAGTGGTTGACAGAGAATCAAGATCAATTAAGAGTTCTTACTAGATGGAAGCATGTAATCTCTATGCCTTCAGTTGGCAACCCATCTATATCTTGGCCGTCATCTGCAAAAGTAAAGCACCAGGCATAAAAACATTATCTACATCATGTAGTGGAAAGACAGTAGAAAAGCAATGATGGTTCGGCTTTAAAGACCCTATGCCTTTCTTCATATTTCAATCCTGTTATGACAACAGAATACATAATAAGGATTGAAATATGAAATTCAAAAGTGCAACACAACTTCACGGACCACCCTAAGCCTAGCCCCTTCATAATATTTCAATTGTAACACCATAAGAATTTCTCACCCCCTTTGACGAAGCGAACCCTACACAATGGCACTTAAAATCCAAAATGAAAAAATGCTGTTCTGTTATCTTAATTTAAGGTAGATTGAAAATTAATCAGCAAGGATAGCATCTCGAAATTTGAAAGCTTCACTATAACAGGATTCTGCCCCCCCCCCCCAACACACAAATCTCTGCAATTCAGAGGAAGAAGAGGAAAACAGAAATTAAGTGGTAAGGTGCTGCTACCATTCACTTGCCTTCTGAAAGAGTTCCAAACAAGTAATAGAATACCCTAACCTCTTACACGTTTTGCCTCTCCCTTCACCCACAAGGACCCACGGAGTTATCAAATTCAAACCTTTTTTTTTTGGAAAAAATCAAATTCAAACCTTGTTATCTTATATAAAGTTAAATTGGAAAGACGGGACTTCATAGTTCAATGCTCCTTTTGGAAGAAAGATTCAGCAACTAAAGTTGTTGACTCGGTCATGATTAGATTTTCTACAATTTCAAAACTTAAAAGCATACTTTTCGCCCTTCGAACTGCCACAAAATATGCATAGGGTGATTTCTTCAATTCATCCTACGTTAGAACTTCAGAGAAGTTCATCCTCCAAGTTTAAGGGAAAAGAAAAGTTCAGAGAAGTTTGCATGACTTCAACTTTCGAGAATGTCCAGTTAAACCTATGTTCTAAAATTGTAAAGAGCCAAAAGCAAAAGAATAAAGCTACAAGAGGAAAGATGCCTGTGCGGAAATCGAAGATGTCGTCTTCTGAGTAGCAGAATCCTCCACGAGCTGTATAACAGAATCTGATGCAACATGAAGAAATTGGAATATATATCATCAATATATCAAGGATAAACAAGCTATACTGATTTTATGAACATACCCACTATGGACCAGATGCATATGTATTTTGGCAAGAGCATATTCTGCTGTAGGAAGAATAGCTTCAACTTCTTCATCACTGACCTGAAACAAAGAAGCATGAATATTGGTTTGCAAGGTTGTAGACGCCAAGAAAGAGGGAAAGATGAGTTGATTGTTCTTGCTGTGGGATGCAAATAAACAAAGATTAATGAATCCTATATACTCAAAAGTCCGGAGCATGGCTATTAAGAAAATTACTACCAACTATATCTTTCACAGGCAAAATTCCACAGTTCAATAACAAATCAAGTCTAAAGACCAATGTGGAAGAGGAAACATACAGCGGACCATCCATCCATATTTGTGCTCTTTAATATCTGAACAGGCCTGCAGAAACCAATCTTCTATCAAACATCTAGAACAGCGATATTAAGGTAATATTTTCTGATGAATTACATGCCACAATAAGAGAAACAATACATACGTGTCAACTGGGCAGAGCAGCATACATTCATCCCCCCCGGAACTTTGGAATACCCTCCTTATGACACACTCTAATGAGTTGTTGTTGACAGAATCAACCTGCCCATGATTTCTTTAGCCTTATTTACTTAATATAATATTTATAAAAAAAACAAAGAAGAGGAGTTTAGAACAAGTCATGAAGTATTTTACTTAATGAACATGAAGAACATCAGAAAAAAATTAGTGACTTGCCTAAGCAAAATGACTGGAATCAGATAGAGCAGAGTGTTGGAACAAGATAGGAATGCAACAAGAGGATCTTTTAAGAATTGACATCTTAAAGGATATGATAAAAAACATCACATCTGCTATCACGTAACAGAAACTAGCTGTAGTTAAATTTATACAGGAGAAAAAGAGGCTTATCAAACAATTATAATTATTTAAGACTTCATTTAATTGTTCTATTAAGCTTTTTAAGGGCTGGTTTCTAGAATTTAGGATATTTTAGTGCTCCTAAGTCCCATATTCTTTGCCCATCATCTTTTTTGGAATTTGGCATTCACATTTCTTCTAGGAACACCTAATACTATTATTTTCTATAACTGAAAAATTGTTTCTTCATTTTCTTTTTGGCATTAACAATCAAAGAACGTCAATTTTATTAGAGAATTAAGATATCAAGGTCAAGTTTTCCCTTAAATTCCGTAAACTCCAAACAGGGAAGAAGGAAAAAAAGTCCACGGGACTAATTCACAATTATATTTGGATTTAGGGTCAAACCTATAGTGGTTCATGTCATTTTAACTATCGGTAGTTTTGGATATGGATTATTAAGAAGTGAAAATATTTAATCTTCATATTTCCCTCTCCCTTGGTTCCATCTGTTAACCCCAACCCCCGTCTCAGCCCAGCCGTCTTCGAGGGTTTGTTTCAGCTGGCGTGAGGCATTCTACCGTCCCTCCTTCATCATTTAGGATTTCACAACTCCTTGAACCAGACAGCAGTGGTGCAGCCGGTGATTTTCCTATGGAGTCTGCCAAGGAACTAGAAGCAAGAGTAAAGGCTCTAAAAGCACTAGTGGCAGATTTGAACAAGCGGGTAAAGGATTTAAAAATGAAGGAGAATGCAGTTTCACCAGGCAATTTTCTCAGAACCTCTGGATCCACCGGTGCAGCCTCTTCTTCTTACTCCAGAAAAGACATACGTGAAAATGAGAAAGAAAAGGAGAGGTCAAAGTTTCGGAAACGGAACAAACGAGTTTTTACCAGACGCATGCTGGCCGGATTGAGGCAGTTTGGTAACTTCCCAATTCCCCCGCATGCTGCTAGGAACGATGTTCTGGCAGCCTTGGCACGTGAGGCTGGTTGGACAGTTGAGCCCGACGGCACCACTTACCGACACTCTCCTATGCTCCAAAATCAACAAAATTTGGGAACTTTTTCAGCGAGGTCGGGTGATAGTCCATTATCATCCAATCCTTTGAAGAAGTGCTTACAAGAAGGGAAACATAGAAATGGAAAGCTGTCTTTAGCACACGTAAAACCAGCTCTTTCTATTGCTCATGTTGATCATAATGGATCCAAGGAGATCAATTCGAAAGGGTATTCCAATGTAAAATTGTTCGAAGTGGTGGGAAGTAGAAGAAACGGGTTTAATAATCAGTCAAAGGAAGGCCAACCAAATATCGTCAATGAGTTCAGAAAGGGTTGTTACACGATTTTTATCGAGAACCTTCCAGAGAAGATCCATTGGAAGAGACTTGGATCTATATTTGGCTCACATGGTCAAGTTATTGATGCATTCATTCCCAAAAAAAGAAACTCGAAAGGGTTTCGCTTTGGGTTTATTCGCTTTGCTACAATTGAAGAAGCAAGGACAACGATTTCTAAGATGAATGGTAATCATATTTACGGCAACAAAATTAGAGTCTCTCTGGCTAAATATAAACCTAGACAGTCTTTCTGGCGAAAGTCCTCGACAGCTGTTCAAAGTAAGTCTGGGATGGAAGATCTTCCGAGGTTTAAACAATGTGAAGTTGAGGGTGCTGTGGACGAAGATAAACTTCAAGTGTTGAACAACTGTCTTGTTGGGTGGTGCAAGAACTTTATCAAGATTGGTAATCTTGCTAACCAAATACAAGCCAAAGGACTAGCGGGTTTCACGCTAATGAGAGCTGCTGGAAATGTAGTTCTAATGGTTTTTGAGGACTCGGATTTGTTGAGAAGCGTGAAGGAAGATAAGTTAGAGACTCTTGCAGAATGGTTTTCCAAAGTGGAAACTTGGTCAGATAGTCTTGTGGTGGAGAGTTGGCGCGTGTGGTTAGTTTGCGAAGGTATTCCTTTTCACGCTTGGAATTGGGATACTTTCAAAAACATAGCTACTAAGTGGGGCAAGTTAATAGCAATTGATAACAGTTGTGAGTTCCCTTCGTCTTTTAACCGGGCTAAAATTCAAATACTCACAAATGCTCAAGGGAGAATTGATGAGTTGTTAGAGTTGAAGGTCGGGGATAATTTATTCAAAATCTTGGTGCATGAAGTTGACCCTTCCTTCAAACCTAATTCTTGGGTCCCTGAAGATTGCGATATCTCTTTAGAACTTGTTCCTCCAATTGGACTGTGATTGTTTGACAGTTGTATTCAGGGGCGTTTTTTAGTTTGTGGTTGTAATTGTTGGTTTTTGTTTTGCTATGTTATCTTACATCTTGAGGTGTATTTTAGAAATAGGGTTATTGTCTTGGGGGCTTTTTGTTTGAAGATGTAAGATTTTTAGGTGATATGGTTTGTATTGGTTTTTATTCCCCTTTGAGGGTTGGGTGTTACCACTTGTACTTGGTCTTCTATTTAATAAAATATGAGGTACTCTTTTCTCCCTTCCAGTGTTCTTCAACATACTTCTAAGTATGTGGAAGAATATGAAGGGAGTTTTTAATGAGACCTCCAACTTCTATCAAAAAAAAAAAATCTGTTACTCTCCCCATAAGTTCTTCCATCACTTCTCCTTTTCCTCTGGTTTCTTCCTATTTTCTGTTTCCTCCCTCTTCTCTGCTTGTTCTACATTAAAAACGCCATTATAAGCATGGTTTGGTTAGAGCATTTATGTGGCCAAGTTGGGGCACTGCCTACACTAACAGACACATGTTGTAATCTGACGATAGCTCATTCTGATTTCTATGTTGAGCCATATCAACAAGAAAATCAGCCCCAAAAAAAAAGTGAATCTGGAACATATTTATCTGGCTTTCATTCAACTAATCCTTACTTTTATCAATTGAAGCTAAATCTCTTTCTTTCCAGCTTATCAGTCAAACTCAATCATGATACTAGGCTAGTCTAACTCAACTTGTTTACAGCATTAACCACAGATGACCAAGCTCATCAATCATCAATAAGAAACTTCCAAACCCCAAGGTAGATTCTCTTGTAATGACAAAAGCTTATCATGTCAAAATTAGTGAACCATTACTTAATTTCCTAGTGCTAGCATGATAATAGAGTTTAACAACACTGTCATTAACTACAATATTGATATACCTGTTGGAATAGCTAAGATTCATTTACCCCATTCGTCATGTATTCATGTTTACATGTACAACACAGCAGTCTTATCTTCATGCTTAAAGCAGTCAAATATTACACAGCGTTGTACTAAATAGATATTTACAACATAATTAATTCGTCTACGTTATGCATTGGAATTTGGAATACTAATATGAAAAAATTATCCAAATCAATTATGGTGTTATATTTGGGAACATGAATTTGAAGGTCTGGATTTCAACTTCATTTGCTACATAAATAGTCAGAAAAATATGTATACATTGCATATAAATAAGTTGAGATTCAATATGAATTATATTTTTAATAATATAAAAGCATGAACCAAATTCATAAATTTTCTATTTCATACAAAATAGGCATCTAACAAATTAATGGATTTGAAAGAGAAACATGAATATTATATTTATATGTGTTTTATCAACAACGTATAATATTTGTGAAATCCAAGTTCTCAAAAGTTACCTAAAAGTATTTCATTTTTACGCTTTATACTTCTCACTTTCAAAAGTTGCAAATTCAATAAGCCAGGCATAGCTAAGAGAAACAAAATTACAAACGAGAGCTTAGAAAAGAAAGCTTACGACGGTGGCAATTCTCTTGTTTGAGGCCATGAGAAGCCTGCCAGTGTCATCGACCACAAACCCAGCCGGCGGTTTGGGCAGCGGTGAAGGATAATATGCTAAAGAACGCCTAGTCGTACTAGTAGAAGAAGACCCTTCATCAACATCATCATCATCTTCCACAATCTCAACATCCCTCAAACTAAGCTCCTTCAAATTATCATCATCATTCCCGCTTTTCCCCTTCCTCCTCTTCTTATTCCCAGCTGCCGAGGACGATCGTTTCTTGACAGGTCCATCCGTCTGGGACTTTGCAGCAAAGCAGAGAGGGAATAGCACAGACACAGAGCTTTTGCTGGGGTTTCGGCAGGGAACGCAGATTGGAAATGAAGGAAATGGGTTTTTAGGGTGGAAAAAAGGGGAAGCGGAAGGAGGTGTTGAAGTAAAGGAAATGGAGGACGCCATTTATTGGTAAGGCTATGGTTTTCTAGCTTTGTGTTTGTTGTTGGATTTCCTTTTTTAAAGATTCTACAACTCTCACTGTAAATTTCCAGTGAAGGGTGAAGGGAGAACAAGAGAAGAGAAAGCAGTAAGTGTATTGTGTTTGTAGCAAGGCTAATGCAACAGCGATGGCAGCAATGGAAAAATTAGGCCTCGCCTTCGGCATTTTCATAAGCAGATATTTTGGAGGTTGAATTTGGACCGGTTGTACTTGAGCGGTTAACGTCATTTTCTTTGGAACCGGATCCATTTCCAGTTCTATTAATCATAGATATGTGTCTAAATTATTCTTTAAATTAATTTTAATTATTTAGAGAACTTTTCGTAAATAATAAGAGTCTAATACTTTTAACATTTTTTTTGGGTGTTTCATCTGTTATAATTATTAAAAAAATATTTAATTGACACATATCGTATTTTTTAAAATTTATTTTCTTAAAAAAGTTAAAATTACAAATTTAAAGAAATTATATATAAGAAAAAAAACACTAATCCCTTTCTCCCTTACCATCACCCTTGTTGACTGTCGTCACTGCCGCTCCCTTATCGTTGACCACTTCATCGGCACTGACCACCCTTCTAAACCAATTGCAGACATCATATATACTCCACAACGACACCCTTCCAAGCCAACACCCACGTATATACAACCGACCACGATCAGGGTATACATGGGAATTAAACAATTGTCTAAGCAATTGCTATTTATCGGCCACGATTATGGTTAGACAATTGCTGTTGACCGGTCAAGATTAGGAATTTAAAAATTAGGGTTAGGAATTTGGATATTGAGAATTTAAAAAATTAGTGTTGAACTGATATGGCTACTCCCGATAGAACCGGTGGTGGGTTTCGTCGATAGTAGATGGGTATTTACCGACAGTGAAGATTGCCCGCGACAGTAATAAACTTTGAGTTAGGGATTTAGAGAATATTTGGAGATTTAATAATTTTTTGGGGTGTTTTGTGAAAATATGAAAAGATAGGTTTTTTTAAAAAAAATTTATAAAATTTTATTTTTTAAAAAAATTAAAGGAAATTAAAAATTAAACCACGTGTCAAATGTTGATTGGTTAATTGATTTTAAATAGAATATTTTAAAGTAAATATTTAAAAATGTAATAAAAAAAACATTAATCATATATTTTTAACAAAAAAATTCTTTAGTACTTAAAATTCACTTAAGTTATACTTTGAACACTAAATACTTTTTAAAGACTGTATATCCAATCTTAATTCAACTGTTTGTTACAGTACTTGAATATGGATGGTTATGGGTTAAGTCAGGCTGGATTAGATCGAGTTCTTAATTCATCTGAACTTATTTCAAAAAGCAAACCCCTCCACGTGCACATGATCTGATTTGAGGTTTTGGAGAATCTCAATCGACCCAAATGACCCGAATTTAAATTGAAATTTACATTCGATTCGACTTAATTTAACTTGTATAATTTATTTTTACTAGGTAAAATAAAAATAAAAATAAAAAAATAAAAAGAATATTATTACATATATCCTTAAACATATAAGAAATAATTATAATATTATGATGAGTCGAATAGAGTTAATTTTTTTTATATTAAATCAGAATCCGATTCAATCTCCCTTTGAAAGAAGCCTAACCCAACCTGAAATAAACTTAAGAGTTAACTGCTTCAAATATCATTCACCTTTGAGCTTGAGTTCGAAATCGAAAATGTCACTGACGTTTCAATTTTGTCAATTTTATCACTAACGTTTATGTTTCACTACAATAATGTCACTTCGCCGTTAATGGCTTAACGGCACGATAACATGGTGTCTCTGTGTTGTGACATTGTTAAAGTGGCTTCCTCACCAAAACGGTGTCGTTTTGACGTAAATGTTTTGATGCGAAAAAAATCCAAAACGACGTAAGTTTGTTAGAATCATTTGATAAAAAATTACTTTCTATGAATTCAAACCAATATCCTTCAAGAATAAATTCTTAACATCCATCCACGAAGCTAACTTAATAATTTGATGCATTCTTAATAAAACTAATATATATGTTAACTTGCAGTTGTATACTTCTTCTTCACTCTCTTCTTCTCCAGCATTTTCAATAATGTTCTCTACGAATCCATTAAAATGAACACAAAAATTGTAGAGGAAGATTACAGTCAGTTCTGCTGGATATTCCTCCATGATTTGTGTCTGCATAAGCATCAAAGAGCCATTTTTTCAAGTGGAATGTGTTAGGAAATTTTTTTGTAAAATTCGTAACTGGTAAGTGAACTCTTACCAGGACAATGAACCAGAGTGGAATCAGGGTAAACTGAGCAGTGAAAAAAGCACCACCGATGACCCAACCGGAGTCTGCACCCGAAACCAAATTTGTTGCGGACAAGTTCAAAGGTTGATGAAGAGGCATTGAGGGTTTTGAAGCTTTGAAAATGGCTGGAACCTTATAGAGAGTCACTACAAATGCACCTGTAATTGATATTATAGTGCCCATCACTTTAGCCTTGGTGCTGCTTCTACTCCAAACCAGTTTCTCCATTCTTTTAAGTTTGCAGCAACAGAAAAAGTTGAAGGAAAAATCAGGATTATGAGATTGTTTAGCTATAATGATTTTTTCGTTTTATTTCGTAGAGATTGACGGATGCCATTGTTGAAAACACCGGAGAAGAAGAGAGCGGTGAAGAAGTATACAACTAATTTAACGTATATATTAATTTTATTAAGAATACATCAGATTATTAAGTTAGCTTTACGGTTGGATGTTTAGTATTTATCCAAAGGATACAGGTTTGAATCCCACATAAAGTAATTTTTCATTAAATGATTCTAACAAAACGACGGTCATTTTGAGGTTTTTTAGCATCAAAATAGTTGCATCAAAATGACGTTGTTTTGGTGAAGGAGTCACGTCAGCAACTCCACGGCACGAAGATAGCATGTGATCGTGCCGTTAAGCCATTAACGGTGGGGTGACATAATTGCAGTGAAATAAACGTCAGTAATAAAATTGAAAAAATTAAAACGTCAGTGACATATTCGAACCCGATTTCAAAGATGAGTGGTATTTGAAGTAATTAACCCTAAACTTAAAGTTTTAAAATAAAATGTCAATCTGACTGAGTAGGGTCTCATCGAGTCCGGATAAAATGTCCATCCTATATATGAAGATTAAAAATCGAACTTGTTTAGACACCAGTTTAATTAATTTGAGACTGATAAAGATCTCTTAAAATTAAACAAATTATCTTACTTGGCAAACCAAAGTTTTAAACAAAAAACAAGGGCATACTCCAGTACCCCATACCAAAATAGATATAACATTGTTATCCACTCTCTGTTCAGTATAACTGCATAAGTGCATCTGCTATCATATTGCAATCCACTTTAACAAAATGGCAATCTCCAGCACTACATTACTGATCATTGAAAGATGAAACTCGCATGGTTCCACACAAATGGCAAAAACTAATCTAAAACTAATCATAAGGCTCTGCTGCTTCTACTGTTGGCATTTATTGATTGATTCACCATCTTGTAACAAATTTTGTTTGAAGCAATGCTCGAGGATGGCCTTTATTCTGCTCTAGTGTCCTCAAGAGGTTTCATCGTCTTCTTGAGTGTCATCTTCGCCAAGGAGGTGATTAAGAACAACTCTTGGTTTCTTAGGTTCCGATAAGTCTTCCGGGTTATTGTCATCACTTTTCCTTTTTAAACTCTCATCCTCTTGCCCATCTTGCTCGGCTGTGGTAGCTTCATCAGCAGATTTTTCAGGTTTATCCAGCAATGGTGGCCTTGAAGAATCAGGTTGCTCAACCATAGGAGATTGTTCACATTCTTTCAAAAACGAGCAAATTTCTTCACTTGCTGCAAGATCAAGTAGGGTTTTCCCGGCTTTTGTTTTGGCACTAAGACTTGCACCTTTCTTTAATAAGACTTTGATTACTTCTAGATGCGACCCTTGTGCAGCATAGTGAAGTGGAGTAAATCCCTTGCGATTAGTGGCTTTGGCCGAAACTCCTTCCGAGAGCAGAGTTCGGACAATCTCTAGATGCCCTTTCTGGGCTGCAAAATGAATCGCACCCATGTCATCCATGGCAGCAGCACCGACATCAACTTTATGCTTGCAGAGATAACTCACAACCTGTGCTTGCCCAGCCCATGCTGCTAAATGTAGTCTATATTACAGGGGTTACCAATGTCAAGGAATCAAATCAAAAACCAGTATGCTATCATGCAGAAAATTATAGTAGAACACAAGGTTAAACAATAGGATCCGGTCACTGATGATATTTACCAGGGAAACGGTTTTAAGTAGATGCCAACAATAAATATATACAATAAGAACAAGCAAGAAAAAGGCGGCACGATGCAGTGATGTGCATAGTTCGAGCATGTTACTATTCCAAAATAAGGATCTCTTTCTTTGTTGAAATGGGTAGCTAATAAGGCTATGCATCATATAGAACACTTCCAACATCTAAATTTCAGGATAAGCAACAAGTATAATTTGTTCAAACTAGAATAGTCCCTACAGTTGCACCGGATTAAGCCCCCATGACCTTGCATTTTAGGAACTAAAAGAAAAAATACGCAAAAGTTGGAGGCACTTCTTAAATACAATCATGGTAGCAAAACTAGACCACTATAGGTAATCCTCTAATCAGTACGAAAATGATTAAAGGAAAGAGAAATTTTAGCACAAGCATGGATTCAGGGTTGAATCCAGGCCAATCTGTGTTACTAATTTGAGAATGCTATTTCATTCAGTTGCCAGAAAAATCTGATTACTCGCAAATAAAAAAAACCCTAAGAACGAAGGCTAAATTTGCCCCTTCCCCTCTTCCCTCCTCAAAGACACCATGAAATCTGAAATAATGGTCTAAAAGATCAAACCTCAAGTGCAGATAACTACGAATTTTTTAATAATGATAAATTCGCTTCTCAATCTTCAATTCGTTGGGTAAAACAAAAAGAGGCAGATGGATAAAAGGAATGAGTTAATGGAATCATGTGAGTACAGATTTGCAAAATAAGACAAAATTTAATACCAAATACTGCTAAATTAACACGAAATGTTCCAAAATATCAATGAAGAAGGAAAGGATAGGAATAGAATTAGAATAGGATACGGAGTTCTGGAGTGCTTATCTCTGGAGTTTACGGCCAACGGATTAGACGCCAGAATTGATTGAAGTTTTGAAAGATCACCTGACCTTGCCGCTGCGTGTATATCTCCGCCGCCGCTCATTCTCTTCCTTTTTATTTTCTTTTGATTCAGCCGATCCTCCACTCTTTCCCTTTCGTTCTATTCTAAACGATGATCGATAGTTACGACAGCGCGTGAACTCACATACTCTAATGTTTGGTGTTTTTATAGAAATATCACCCTTGCACAATAATTACCTGTCAGACACTTTTTTTTAAATATTATTGAATTAACACCCTTTTTAACACAATGATAATAAAGCGCGGATCGTCATCCGCACTTTCGCGAAGTTCTGTTCGAATTGGTGCCACGTAAGGGGAAGACGCGAATTACCATTCGTGCTTTCGTAGGGTTCTGACACGTACAAAAGGCGCAAATCATACATTATACACGTTGAATTATTGATAATTCATTATTACCCAAGCCTAAAAACTCAACTTTTAAATGCTCCCCCTCCTCTATAAATAGCATCCCTCTGAATGAAAACATCACCATACCAAAATTACTTGATTATTTTCATTTCTATCAGTTCCTTCTATCAAACTAAGTATATTTTGTTATTGTTTTTATAAGGTAAAATTATTTTTGATTATATTATATTTAATTATTTGAAAAATTTTTATTGTACTAATTATTTTATATTTTTTTACGGTTGTAAAATTGGAAAGCAAGATCATACCTTGAGACATTTTGCCGATACGGTAATAATATGAAATTATGTTATTTAAATTATTGTGAAATTTAAAAAAAAAATTGGATTAGTTTATATTTTAATTCATATACTATTTATTTAATTAGGAGTATTTCATGTATAAGACTCTCGATCTTTCAAAGTCTCAAAATGACCCGTATTTCAACTATTGTTTACTATGATGGAGAAATTTGGGAAGATGAAACTGGCATCGTCTTCGCATCAAATCATTCTGTCAGAATATTCTTCAAAAGAAACATCACTCTTGAGGAGCTAATAACTAAAATTTCAAGGAAGATTCATGTTAGAAGTACTAGAAGAATGTCCTTACTTCAGTACAGATTTTCAACTGTAGTATCTTCGTTAACTTATACAGCGTTCAAACTCTCCAATAATGATGATGTTGATGGCTGGCTCATCAAGTTGATCAACTTGACAGCCCAACTCAAGTAATATGTAATGATTTTAACTCAAGTAATGTGTAATGATTTTAACTCGTTAATGGGAAATCCACATCATGGTGCCATCCCATCAAGTTCAAAGGGGAGACATTCATCAGCAATTTCTTACGATATGTACCGAGGTGGCTCCACAAACAATTTGTATGGAAACATCACTTCCAGTTCAAGGGGAAGACATTCATCTGCCAATTTCTTTGACCTGAATATGGAGATGCCCTTAACGTAGCAATCTGTGCAGTACCCATTTGACACGATGCCTTCAAGTTCCAAGGGGAGGCATTCAATTGCGAGCTTCTTCGACCTCAATGTCGAGATGCCTTCAAGTTCAAGGGGAATACATTCAACTACCAGCTTGTTCGACCTAAATGTCGGCATCGTGGAGGAACCCTCATCTTCATCAGAAGAACCTCTTCGTGAGCCAAGTGCAGATGTGATGAGACTGGACTATTCGTTTAGCCAGAATCACTGCAGTTCAACATGGACTCTGGTGATGATGATGATGATGAAGTTCTCACAAATATGGTACACACTGAACCTCCAACACACATGAATGAAACTTACTATGGTGCAATGTACGGGTCAGAATTTACAGATATGCCTAATGTTTGTGACTACGGATTTAACTAATCAGTCAATGATAGTGAGTTATATAAAGGAATGGAGTTTCCATTCAAAGAAGAAGTGATGATGGTAATTATGAATTACAACATTCATAATTCTGCTCATTCCAAATTCGATCGTTCTATCACCGAAAAATATGTCTGCCAATGTGTCCAATGTGATAACGGATGCAACTGGATAGTTCGTGAATCGAAGAGGAAGAGGAAAACTAATATATGGGAACTAACAATATACAACGGTCCTCACATATGATGTGTTGAAGGGATCAACCATGATCATCCCAACTTGGATTCTGACATTATCTGCCAAGTCATCATGCCCATGGTCAAAGCAAACTCCCATATAGCTATTGTGGTGTTGATTTCATCTATACAATCGTAATATGGGTACAACGTCTCATACAGGAAAGCATGGAAGGCAAATCATAATTCCATTAAAAAACTTCATGGCGAGTGGGATGCATCCTACAACGAACTATCAAGTTAGTTTAGGGTAGTGCACAGATTGAATCCTGGGACAATTATCGACTTCTAAACTTGCCATGCATACCACAATGATCGAGTGCTTCGTGATCGATGCCAATTCTACCGGATTTTTTGGACTTACCCATAGTGTATTAATGTTGTGAAATACTGCAAGCTCGTGGTCCAAATTGATGGGATATTCTTGTATGGAAAATACAAGCAAGTTTTATTATTGGCAGTTATCCAATATGGTAATTACAACATTCTTCCAGTTGCTTTTGCCCTTATTGAAGGAGAAAATACATAATCTTGGGTTTTTTTCCTCAGAAACTTATGTTTACATATTGCCACAAGGGAAAAAGTTTGTGTCAATTCAGATCGCGTAGCTAGGATCAAAGAAGCAATGGAGTCTTTGGGTCTAATGTGGCAACCGCCCTATGTCCAACATCGGTACTGTATCTGACACATTGCTGCTAACTATCATGGAAAGTTCAAGAAGAATGATGAATGCAAATTACTTGTGCGCATGGTTATGTAAAAATACCTAATTTTATTTCTCAATTATTTTCATTTTGTATGGAAACTTAACAGTAAGTTTTACATTCGATGCTCAGGTTACAAACTATTACCTGAAACATTTGATGCTCAAGAAAAAAGTTAATCTCTTTTTTCATCAAGTAACCGTTGATGTTGTGATGATGTAATAGTTGTTTATGAAATCTAAGTTTGTGTTATTTAATTTTCATTTACTTTCAATTAATGTCATTTGAGCATCGTCGAGTAATGGGCTACTCAAGTGAAAATTAAATAAAAATATTACAAACTAAATACAAGAAAATAATACAATTCAAACAATAAAAACAACTAAATATAAATATTAAATGCAGACGAAACAATTCGAACAATTAAATAATAAAAACATTAACAAATAAAATAAATAAAAAGTCCATAACAAAATAAAAACTTTACAATTGCTAGTAAACAAACAAAATTAAATAAAAACTTTACAATTGATGGTAAACAAAAAAATTAAATAAAAACATTACAAACTAAACAACTCTATCGATGTATGTGTTTTGAATGTTTTCCATAGGGCGATAGTTGTCTGTGTCGAAGAGGATTTTTTCGTATAACTTGTTCTTCTTCCTCACTCTCATCATCACCATCATCATCATCAGGATCAATTATATTTTGTTGATGAGGGAAAGATGATGATGTAACACCTCCATGGAATAAGGACCCTACAGGTATATGACTGACTATCCCATTGTTCTTAGAAAATTGCGAAAACATCGACATCGATGAGTATGAAAACTGCGCCGGAGGTGTCTTTGTATGTGGTCCACCTTCACCTACCAAATAAGCAGCATATAAACCCCACGCTGGATCTACAAGCATGGAAATATAATATCCGCCATGAGGGGTCATAAAACCTTACGACGGTGGCATCTGACCTGACTATAATGGCATATGATATAGCTACGATGGAATCTGATATGGAAGCGGTGGCGTCTGACTTGGCTGCAGTGGTATTCGAAATGGCTACGGTTCTATCTGAAACGGCTGTAGAATGTACATCGGTATAGATAGTGGCTACTGTGATGGTTCCGGTGCTGCAATTGAGGACGATCCGGAAGCATCTAGTCTCCGTCCATGAGTCAAGGGACGATGATGCTATGACGACAGATGTCTTTGTCGACACTGATGAATGTTCCTACCTTGTGCTTCCTCGAAAACTAGGAACGGTTTCCCGTTCGTGTTAAACCACTCATAATAATCATCCACAACCCAATAATGATTCAGATAAATGGGTTTCGTATGGGGAATACGTTCACGTCAATCCTCCCATATCATTACCCACTCGATATGTTTCAGCAGCTAGACAACTTCTTTTTTGTCCCGTCTATCGATAATATGCATATCGTCGAGATTCTTATATGCTCCCGAAATAGATTGTACGAAACAAAATTGGCAGAGCACTCGATCAATAGGATGTCACTCGATAATAGCATAACATATCAAAGGGACCACCACTATCCAAACATCTAATGAGACTCTCAAGTGACGTGGGATGCAAATCCTCATTTCTTTAGTAGAATAAGGAGCCATTGAAACTAAAACAAATATATATAATTCTTATCAAAATAATATTTTAATTATATAATGATAATTAAAAGTAAATAATAAAATTTAAATACATACATCTGTACCAACCTTTTGATCAATGAGTAGCCAAATTTCTTCCAATTCATTTGGTAAATCCCAATGATCTTTTCTTGCACTTGACCACCTATTCAATGAAAAAAATTCATTATATACTCAACAAAATTATTTATATACGAATTCAGTAGTGAAATTACCTCAAGAATAGTGGAAAGACCAACGAGTTTTTCACGACCGGACATAAAAAAGCATGCGATACCACGCCCAAGTCTGGAGAAGAATGAGACATCATATGATAGCATTTTTTCGATAATCAGTTGCTTGACACATTTACTTTTACAGAAATGCCAAAACCAAATAGCCCCAACTGAGTGTGCCAACAACGTCAAAATATATAAGGTGACGTAACCACATACAATGAACTTGGTTGCACGATTTGTCGGACATCAAGATCCCTCCTATGAGTTTTAATATGCAAGCATGTGAATACATTTTAACCTGTTCCTCGGAGGTGTCACGACTCAAATGTTTAAAAGTTGTATCTAACCAATTTAACGGTATTCGACAACCGATAAAATTAGGCGGGGCACCTTCAAGATACTCTTCGCACAATGAATGCCAGTTACCATTCTCCACCCCAGAAATCACATCCCCATTTATCAAAAACCTCAAATGTATGGAAACATCCTCTAGTGTAATCGTGCA